ACACTTACCATATCATATTTTCCTGTTTACTTTATTTTGTGATATCTTTCACATAAACGATGAGTTAGACTAAGCACTTTTAGTACTGGTCTACACAAAGGAAAAATATTCATACATACAAAACATTCGAGTCTTGGTAGAAGACTGCACTTCATACATACAAAACATTCGAGTCTTGGTAGAAGACTGCATTTCACACATACAAAACATTCGAGTCTTGGTAGAAGACTACACTTCATTTATACAAAACATTTGGGTCTTGGTAGAAGACTACACTTCATATTTATAGAAAATAAGGGTTTTTCTAGGGATTTCATACTTACCTCAACATTTCCACGTAAAGGTTTTTCATGGCATTCATAGTAGGTTTTCACAAACAAAGCAATGACACTTATATACTTATGAACTCACCAGCTTTAAAGCTGATACTCTCTTTCAAAATAACTTGTATTCTCAGGTCGCCAGTAGACAGGTACGGAGGACAGGTTTTGAGAAGACGCAGCAGACAAGTCTCGTCTTTTATTTTGATTGTATATTTTTGGTGTCTTATTACAATGAAAGAACACACATGTATAAAACTTTACTTATAATGCAATGGATGATGTTGTTGCTTGTTTATTATATTACACTGTTGTGATACTGTACATGATGTCCTCCACCCTGAACGTTTCCACCGTTCGTGGTTTTGGGGTGTGACAAACAACCATGTGCACATAAACATACAATAACATAACAATTCATATTCAATCAAACAGATCTAGCAGATCACGTAACACAACATACTCTAAGCAGGATACCGACCTAACCGGTCACTAGCATAGCATCATCCTATATACCAGGATACCGACCTTAACCAGGTCTCTAACGAATACCATCCTAACTACCAGGATGCAAACATAGTAAAACAACAACATAACAACAATACCCGGATTACAATCCGATAAAGGGCCGGCCTTGGTACCTTAGACCCTGTTGATATAGTGAGGATAACTCACCTCGCAACTGCTGACTGAAAAGGATAAGATCACGCTGCTGCAACCTCCGACCCGAACTCCACCACTGATAATACACAAAAGACTGAATTCAATAAATACCAATAATTACCAAATTACCCCTGGAAGTCAACTGGTCAACCCTTGGTCAAAGTAAAAGTCAAAGTCAACCTCCTGACTGACTCTACTCGCCGAATCAACCCAATGACTCGTCGAGTCCCCATGCTTAGAACTTCCCCAATTCGCGACTCAATTCGCCGAGTCACCTCGAGACTCGCCGAGTCTCGTAACTCTGAGTCCCCTCGCACTCAACTCACCGAGTCCTCCCTTGACTCGCCGATTCATGACTCAACCAGAAGAATATTAGGACCTCACGACCAAACTCGCCGAGTCCGAGGCTATCTTCAACCTACTCGCCGAGTTCCAGTCCATCTTCAAGCAACTCGCCGAGTACAGCTTTGTGACTCGCTGAGTACCGCTAGTTCTTAACCCATACAGAAGCCTTCCAGGCCATGCAATCTATCCAAAATGTAGATCTACCATTCTACAACCCTTCCATCACGTAAAGTGGCAAACTTTACGTGAATCCAAAGAGATCTAGGCATTTACACTCTAGGGCTTGGGTTAATACAAGATGGCTTCACCAATCACTCAATAATAGGGACTTTAATGCACTCTAAACCTCCTCCACTTCAGATCTGAGGTAGCAACCTCAGATCTATCCTTCAAACTCAAGATACCACAATTTAAGCTTCCTACACAACCCAAAAATGATGAATCTAGAAGAACACAGCCCCAGAACGAGATATTACCTCAAAATAAAGCCCCCCCAACAGCAAGGAATCCGAATCTAAGCAAAGCCCCTTGCTCCAAACCTCCTAACTCTACAAGATCTTCTCCCAACTTTCTTCTACAAGGCTCAAATGCACTCAAAACCTTCACAAACGCGTATTTAGGGTTTCTGGACTTCAAGGGAAGGTAAGGAGGCTGGGGAGAGGGTATAATGTCCTTTATATAGGGCTCATCCGCCGAATTTAGGGTTTTCTTCACACAGCGCCTACTCGCCAAGTCCAGCCTTGGACTTGCCGTGTTGGCCACTTAACACGCGACCTGAGTCACGACCCTACTCGCTGAGTCCTCCCATGGACTCGCCGAGTTGCACTTCAAATTTACACTTTGTACCCCGAACTTGCACTCTTGGACTCGGGATGTTACAAGTACGTGGCATGGACCAAAACCCTAATATTTATGTTTTGTGCACTATTTAAACACCTTTATAGCCCCACCCTTTCTTTCACCGTTCTTCATCTCTTAACTCAACCATAGCTAACCCTAACCTCTTGTGTGAAGCAATCTTGACCTTGAGTGTGTTCTTTTGTGATCTTGAAGGAGGAAGAAAGAAAGGGAAACCATCTTAGAAGAGTGTAGCACTTTGGATCCTGAAGCACATCATCATTCAACACCACTTGAAGGTAAAAAGCTCTGATCTTGATGAATTTTTTCTTAGATCTTGATTAGCCATGAATTTGTGTTCATTTTGGTCCCATAAGCTTAGTATTATGAATATGGATTACTCTAATTCATATGAGTTGTCCTTTCATACATTTTGAATTGTTTAATATCATAAAATGTAATCTTGGTCCTTAGTTTCCTTCCATGTATGGACTAGGATTTCTTAATGAGTTAAGAATTTAGGGTTTTGGTATTGAGCTCTTAATATCCATACAAGATCATAAAGTTGGAAACTTTATGATTAAGGACATCATTTGAGGACTAGATCTGGATTTTAGACGAAAGAGCTTAAGGGATTAAGCTCTTAATAGAAGGAAAAGGTGGTAGGTGCGTACATTGGGTGTACCTGTTGGTACGCTATGCATATGATGCCAACAACCCTGTTTTTTGTCAAGGCTCTAGTACGATGTGCATACAAGCAAAGTACTATGGGCGTACTCAGCTGAGTTGACTCGGTTGACTTTTGAATTTGTCCATGATTTGACTAAGTTTGGCCTAAGGGTATTTTAGGTTGTAGTTGAGATTGTTACTATTTGTTGAATAGGTGACGTGTAGAGCTGATATTCAGAGGAGTATCCTATTCAACTATTCGTTCAGACTGAGAAGTGAGTTATCCTCACTGTACTTATGGGTCGAAGATACCAAGGCCAACCCATTAGATTAGATATCCTAGTTTGTTGTATGATGTTATGTTGAGATATGTGTTCACTGGTTATGCGATTAGACCGGTAGATCTGTATGATTACCTGTATAGTTGGATATGTGTTAGACTGATAGTTCTGTAGGACCACTTGTGTTTACTGATTATTGATTGTTATTGTATATGTCGACATATTATGGTTGTTGGGTTGAGGTGGACCAACTCGTGCTAAAGGCCAAGATGTCCGAATAGACTGAAGTCTCGTTATGGCGGTCCAGTCAGGCCAAAGGCACGAAGAGCAGTCCAGATAGGTTGAAGGCCTGGTCTGGTGGTCTAGTCATACTAAAGGCTTTGAGAGCGGTCCGAATAGTATGTAGGCCAGCGAGGTGGTTCAGTTATGCTGAAGGCTGATGTATGCATACTGTTATTTGTATGGTTGTGTGTGTGATACTTTGAGGGAACTAACTAAGCATTGACTTACGGTTTTAGTTTGTTGTTTCAGGTACTTCTGATGATCGGGGAAAGCATAGGCATGATCGTTCACACCCTTCAGATTTTATGTTATTGGATTTTGGGAGACACTAATTTATTATTTATACTTTTGGAATAATGTAATGTAAATAATTATGGTCTTTGTGTTGCTTTTTAAAAATGAATATTTTACTTTGATTTTTGGAATCTTACAAAGAAACTAGATGAATGTGAGTATTGTTTATCTTTACTGGGACTTCTAAAAAATGGATTAAATGAAACTAAATATTTTCTAAAACATAGATAAGAATGACGAAATAACAGTTTCAAATAGTTGAGAGCAATTTTCTGAATATCAAAATGGGTTGTGGAAAAGTAACTCTACATTTGACAACATGTGATGTCCATAAAAATTGGGTTGTCCATGGCAACGTGGGTTGTTCGTGGCAATGTGGTTGTCCTATAGCGAAGCTGACAAATTGCAAGACCCGACTCTGTCTGGTCCTAATAAGCTCACTTTTCCTTATCTTATCTATATTTTCCACTACACTTGAGATTGGAAAATATGTTTAGGTTTCATCCTACAAGAGCATATTACCCCTCAACATGCTATTCTTTGTGATCGAGATCAAACCTGTTCGATTAGGTATGCACTATATCATAGTTTGATTACTTTTTGATTGTCACATAAATTTTAGTTACACTCATGTTATAATAAGATGACCAAAAAATTAAATATGTATGTACGATTCTCTTCATAAATATTGTGTCAAAGTTTGAGATGGAAGTATTACTATCCCGTTTGAAAGGTTTTGTATTTTTTTCTGTCTTAAATTAGTTACATAATTTTTACCATATGACTGAAGTACATTTTTATAAAGATCGGTCATATTTCAACATTATAATTTATAAACTATATTACCAAAATGATCCATGCGGTTTAGTCAAATTTGCAATTTTGGTTTAAATAAGTTTCAAAACTTTAACATCACACGTCCTTATAATATCATTTTTTATGATTTTGGTCATTTTACCCTTTTTGATATCTTGTATCTTTTATTTGCATTAATTTTTTTAATTCATAGAAATATCTAATTAAAAAAGGATCACCACCCCCCACCTAGGAATGGCAACGGGGCGGGGCATGGTTTCCCAAACCCGAACCCGATTTCTAAATGCGTACCCGACCCCGATGGGTTTCTTATCGGGGCGCCCCGTTGGGGTTGAAACTTCCCCGAACCCGACCCCGAACCCGAAACCTAATAACTACCCGAAAACCCGACCCAAAATTGGAAATTTTGCAGAAAAAAAGGAGAAACTACAAATACTGAATGATAAATTAAGACGGTTGCATAGGTTTAAAATACCAAATAAGTTCTTAAATCATTTAACCAAATAGAAATTACTAATAGTCTAGTATTGTAACAACAACCAACCAACCAAAATACCAAAGTACAAAATATGAAAAACTAATTCATCACAATAATACATTACCACTTAACATTAAAACAAACTCAAAATCAAACAAAATCATCCAAACTTGTTGTCCCGCTTTCTTTAGTGTTTTCCTACAAAATATTAAAGAAACTCAAAATCAAACCAAATCATGGAAACTATATAAAATTAATATTCTTAGAAGTATCGTTTTACCTCTTCCACATCATAATCAAATTCAACAGAATGACAATATGCCTCGGTCTCTTCAGAACAAGTTGCTGTACATAAGAAAATATAAAAGCAATTTAACAAAAGTATTATTAATATGCAAAAAAGATTCATAATTTCATATAATTAATATAAAATAGTATACTACCTCGAATTTCATTCAACAACCAACTTTGAGCACACATTAAAGCCTCCAATGTCTTTGGATGAATTCGACTACGATGAGGACTTACTAATCTTCCACTAGTGCTGAAAGCTGATTCCGAGGCAACAATGGAAATAGGAATAGTTAATATATCTTTAGCGATCCTTTGTAGTGTCGGGTATTTAATCCCATTTGTTTTCCACCACGCCAAGAAATCAAGTTCCATGTCTTTAGGCAACAATTTCTCCTTCAAGTAGTTATCCAACTCACTCATACCTCCTGAGTCATCATCATCTCTAGTAATAGAAGCAATATCTGATAAAAGCTTTTTGAATCCAACACGATGATCGGAAGACATACTAGAACCAAATGAAGATGAACCGGGAACCGAACCATCATAAACACCTAATGTTTAGTATAAAAATGTTAATAATTTAAGATAATTCTCTATTTATTATATAAACAATAAGAAAAATACAATAACTTGACTCTTCCTTTTTCTAGATGCATTACTTGACTCGTACTCTTGAAACAAAGTTTTGACAAACCCCTCCAAATTTTGAAATTCAATCTTTGCCTTTTCTTCTCCATAAAGCACAGGAAAAAGTAGCTCCACAAACTTTAACTTGTATCGTGGATCTAAAACCGCTGCCATTCCCATTATCCCATGAATTACAGACCAATACTTATTGAACTTAGAAACCATTTGTTCAGCCATCTCCCTAATCTCCTCAATAGGAGATTTTGTCCATTCACGCAAAGAATACCCAATCTCACATATCAAAGGAAAAAAAAAAACATTAGTTGTAGGATACTTTGAACCAGAGAACATAACAGTCACCTCATAAAAAAGCTGTAATCTTTCACAAATCTCACTATCCAACTCCCATTCCTGGTCTGTAGGAAAACATGTATACTTTGGGTCTCTTGTCTTTACCCGATCAAAAACCTCTTTGTAGCTTATAGCAACACTCAACATCAAGAATGTAGAGTTCCACCGCGTCTTGCAGTCAAGTATCAACTTCTTTGAGTATGGTATTCCTAACTGTTCTGCTGCTGTCTCAAAATTTTGCTCCCTCTTTTGTGATGCGGACCAAAATGCAACACTCTCTCTGATTCTCTAAATCTCAGATTTAACGAGGGATAAGCCATCTTGGACAATAAGATTAAGAATATGTGCACAATAACACATATGAAACAAATCACCATTCATCATTAGTGATTTTAGAGGAAGTTTCTTTAATAATATCCTGATAATTGCATCATTTGTGGTGCAATTATCCACAGTAAGAGTTGAAACTTTCCTATGAAGATTCCAATCACACAAACTAACATAAAGTATGTCGGCAAGAACATCAGATATATGCAGATAAGGCACGTAAATAAACCTGTTTAATTGCACCACAAATGATTGAGAGAATCAGAGAGTGTTAATATATATATATATATATATATATATATATATATATATATATGTTAATATTAACATATAAATAATAAGTATGTATAAATTGTAGTTAAATAAGTATAATATACCTCATAATTTTGCTTTGCAATCCAATTTTGATCTACAAAATGTGTTGTGATTGCCATAAACCCTTTTTTTTATGATTAGATGTCCACATATCGGTACTAATTGTAATTCTACTTTTGTTCTTTGCTAACAAACTCATAGTTTTATCCCTTTCATAATCATAAATACTTTTGATATCACTGTAACGTCCGAAAAACACAACCAATTTAAGATTTTCAAAACAACCCGATTTTCATTAAAATGTTTACAAAAAGGTTTTCAATACAATTCATTTAAGTATTCCCAGAATCATGTCGTTACGAAATCATAAGGAGCGGTACGATCGCGCCTTCGCCTTGCCACAGTCTCCTGAAGAACCTGAAAAACATTAAACCACAACTGTAAGCCCGAAAGCTTAGTGAGATACCCCCAAGATACCAACCACGCATACGCCCTTCCAGGCTACGACCTTCCGGTCCAAAACATATAAATCATACATAACATAACAGAACATAGAACAACCATGCATATCGGGTCTAACGTGACTGGTCCGCCGTATCGGGCCTTCAGTCCTTCGGATCCATCCTCCGGGTCTAGTCATGTCCTTCGAGTCTACAGTGGGGTTGGTCCGCCCGCATCAGGCCTTCAACCCACCTGGTCCACTCTCTGAGTCTACAGTGTGACTGGTCCGCCCGCATCGGGCCTACAGTCGGCCTGGTCCACTCTCCGAGCCTCGGCACGTCTGGTCCGCCCTCATGGGGCCTACAGCCTATCCGGACCGCTCGCTGGGCCTTCGGAACAACCGGTCCGCCCTGGGTATCTTGGCCTACAGCACAAAGCAGGACCCGCCTCAACCCATCTCCAGTCCAAACAACCATGTGCACAAAACATACATTCATATAACAGTCATAATCAACAAACCGAGTAAACAGATCACATAGCATATCATTACTCTAACCGGGCTACCGACCTACCCGTTCACTAGCATAGCATTACTCTGCATATCGAGGACTGACCTTTACAAGGTCCCCTAGCATGTACCATCCTAACTACCAGGATGCAGACACAACCAGCAATAACATGATAAACGTAACTGAATCTCAATACAATAAAGGGCCGGCCTTGGTGCCTTAGACCCTGTTGATATAGTGAGGATAACTCACCTCGAAACTGACGGCTGAAAAGATAAGATCCCGCTGCTTCGAACTCTGACACAACTCCTCCACTGAACATCAACAATAACCCAATAAATACCCATAATTACCGAAATACCCCTGGAAGACAACTGATCAACCCTGGACAAGTCAAAGTCAACCCCTGACAGACCCTGACTCGCCGAGTCCTTATGCTCAGACTTCCCTCACTTAGCGACCCAACTCGCCGAGTCACCCCAAGACTCGTCGAGTGCAACAACTCTGAGTCCACTCGCACCCAACTCACCGAGTCATCCCTCGACTCACCGATTCGTCGACTCAACCAGGAATATTGGGACTTCCTCGACATGACTCGCCGAGTCCAAGGCAATCTTCAACCTACTCGCCGAGTTGTTCTTCCAACTCGTCGAGTTCAAGGCCATCTTCAAGCAACTCGTCGAGTCCACCCATGTGACTCGCCGAGTTCCACCGGTCTGAATCCATACAGAAGCATCTCAGGCCATGCAATTGATCCAAAACATAGATCCAGCCTCCTACAATCCATCCATCACGTAAAGTGGCAAACTTTACGTGAATCAAACGAGATCTAGGCCATTTTCACCTTAAAACCAAGGTTTGGGACATGATAGCTTCACTCATAGCACAAAGGTTGGGACTTTAATGCACTCAATGACTTCTCCACTCCAGATCTGAGGTAGCAACCTCAGATCCATCCTCCAACACCAAAATGTCACACAACCAAGCATCCCACACAACCCCAAATGATGAAACTAGGAATGCACAGCTTAAGGACGAAGATATTACCTCCAGAAGATGCCTCAATAACAGCTAAACACGAATCCAAGCAAAGCCCTTTGATCCAAACCACTTCTCCTTCAAGATTTCTCCAAGCAACACCTCTCCAAGCTCCAATTTGCTCCACCAATGCTCTTCTCCACGAGATTAGGGTTTCTGGAACTCAAGGGGGAATAAGAGAGGCTGTGGAGGGGTATAATGTTCTTTATATAGGGCTCAACCCCGGAAACTAGGGTTTTCTCCATACAGCACCTACTCGCCGAGTCCATACTTGGGACTCGCCGAGTAGGCCACTCGGCTCGCGACCATGACCGCGACCTGACTCGCCGAGTCTATCCATGGACTCGCCGAGTCATCCTCTAAAACTTACACTTTTAGCCCTTCAACTCTACTCTTGCGATTCCGGGATGTTACAATTCTCCCCCACTTAAATTAGGCTTCGTCCTCGAAGCCTTCGGCATCTCATCTTCAATTTACTTCCCACTATGCGCCACTTGACCTTGACCGAACCAGCCCCTCAAAGTACAACCATAGAACCAGAAGCTCACTTTCTCCTTCCATACGGTGTTCCCACCACCTACTCAAACCGGCACCCACTGTACCCTCCGATAACCACACTCAACAACCGAGAATTACCCATAATGCCTTATTGCTCCAATTCTCATCTTTCACTTGACTCGCATGGCTATAGAGCTACGAACCCTCGGATTCCCGATCCAAATTCCACTCTACCCTTACCATGACGACCGAAAGACTCATTCTTCCATTTCGGAGCAACTCCCCCGAGTTCTCCTATCGCAATCACACATACATGCCGATCTAGCTCTAGCAACCTCAGGTGCGGATAACCTGATATACAGACGATATCCTCAACATCCTTCCAGAATAAACCACTGGCACATACCCAGAACCCTGATCATGATCCCACTGAGAGTCCAAGACTCCTGCTCTGTATCCCTTCCGAACTCCTCTCCCTGACTCCACGTCGCGATATTCCCTCTGCGCCCAAAGCAACATATCGAGTCGAATAAGCTTATTTTCTGCCGCCGCAACACACTACTCAAAGACCATCGACGGACCACAGTGATCGCAACTCCACACTGCCGCTTTCACTTCCGTGAATTCGCTCTCCCTTTCCGGAGTTTCATTCCTCCCTCTTTCCTTACCAAGGAAACCACTCGTCTGCTCGCTCATCATGACAGGCACCCTGGTGCTCAACCTACGCCACATTACCTCCTTACAGCGTACTCAACATCCATGCATTACCGCTACTCTGCCTCTCATCACAAGGACTCTCAAGCCCGTGCACTACCTTTACCGCTAAAGATCGCTCGCCGGGCCAGACCTCCCAATGTATTCCCACTGCAACATACGCAACCCATAACCTCCAACCGATCTAACATTACCCGCAGAGTCTTCAGCATGACTGGACCGCCTCCCCGGGCCTTCAGCCAATCTGGACCACTCTCAGAACCTTCAGCCAATCTGACTGGACCGTCCTCCGAGCCTTCGGCCTGACTGGTACGCCTACGGCCTTCAGTCTATCCGGACCGCTCAACAAGCACTCATTATTCCGAACTATCTCTTCAGGAAATCCTCCCGTGCATACCGTTCTAACCCTCTAGGGGTTCCGAACTCTATCTCCATCCTACATGCTCGATCCCGGCCTGCTCCCATGCCTTCCTCAATCAACTGCTCTAGGTCTGTATTCCGCCCCGCACGCCTGTTACTCACTCATACGAGCCTGCTCTCAACTAATAGAAATACCGCTGAATTTCCCAAGCAGCTAAACAACCTCTCAGGCCCAACGATCATCCGGAGAATTTCCAATTCTCCCCCACTTAAGACACTGACAGATAGTCACCGGTTGCCATCATCGATCTCCCCAAGCAACCTTGCAGGAATCAACACATGCACTCAAAATGTTTTTCACCAGCACCAACAACTTTCATACAATCATGTTCCCATGCTGCACAACCTGCTCGAAAGGAACCCAATCTTCAACTATCAATTCCTCAGACTACCGAATCTAACTGTCCTTCAAACCAACGCCGCATCCGCCACCAATCCTCACAAAGATAATCAACGATAGCTCGAAGTACAAACCCATAACCATAACGATCCCCCAGGGAACACAAGATACTAAAACGAAATCTCGATCACAACTCGCCAAACCCTCAAGGAACAATGAATACCACACGAAACCCGAAACGCAATTCCATAACCAACCAATGAAACCAGCAGATATCAATACTCTACAACAATCATAAATAATCAAAACAGCAGAAAGAACATACCCGAAGCAGCAAGCTGAAAAACACGGCCCTAAGCCCTTGGGGGCTCTGCTCCACCCTGACCTCCACCTGTGATCCTCAACGTAGCCGGTGCTGGAGCCTGCACCGATCCCGCAGCAAGCTGTGGACAGTTGACCTTCAAATGTCCAACCTGATGACAATGATAGCATATCCTCAAATCCCGAACCGGCACTGACTGCCGACAATCCCTCGCATAGTGTCC